AGACCTTTAATTTGCAACTTAATCAGGAATGAAGGAACAACACTGGAATATAACTCGATGACAAGTTCATCGAGTCGAAGATTTGGTTGTACACCACTTGTATGTGCCGGATACCATTGTGTCAAATTTTTTCTGAAATTAACTTTAAAAGTACTAAGTAAGATCATGAGATATAGCAATATATGTTTAAACCAACTTATATTTTGGTTGTACACCACTTGTATGTGCCGGATACCATTGTGTCAAATTTTTTCTGAAATTAACTTTAAAAGTACTAAGTAAGATCATGAGATATAGCAATATATGTTTAAACCAACTTATATTTTGGTTGTACACCACTTGTATGTGCCGGATACCATTGTGTCAAATTTTTTCTGAAATTAACTTTAAAAGTACTAAGTAAGATCATGAGATATAGCAATATATGTTTAAACCAACTTATATTTTGGTTGTACACCACTTGTATGTGCCGGATACCATTGTGTCAAATTTTTTCTGAAATTAACTTTAAAAGTACTAAGTAAGATCATGAGATATAGCAATATATGTTTAAACCAACTTATATTTTGGTTGTACACCACTTGTATGTGCCGGATACCATTGTGTCAAATTTTTTCTGAAATTAACTTTAAAAGTACTAAGTAAGATCATGAGATATAGCAATATATGTTTAAACCAACTTATATTTTGGTTGTACACCACTTGTATGTGCCGGATACCATTGTGTCAAATTTTTTCTGAAATTAACTTTAAAAGTACTAAGTAAGATCATTTATTTTTGCATAATATAATGCCAATATGGTTTCTTTTGATTTTATTTCATTTATAAGCAAATCAGATTTACCCAAAAACTCCACTCCATAAGCGTTCATTTGCTAAATTAAAAAGTGACAATGGGCTAGTCTGTCCCTTTCTCATTTTAAAAATAACTTTAATTTTTTTAATGATTTATAAATAAATATATTTTTTATTTCATTATGTTTGGGCTGAGTGTAAATGTCTTACAATTTTGAAAATTTTTTAAATCTTGATTTATTCAAAAACGTAAGAATCAAAACCGTCAGAATCATACATTTTTTACTTCATATGTTAAAAAAATGATACAAAATCGCTCGATATTGTATGAATTCTTACGTTTACAAAAAAAGTCACAAAACCCTTCCACATATACTACTACACACATTGCGAATATATTTTCTTTGAATGAATGCAATGTTATATCTTTGGGAAAAAGGGTTCACAAAATTACTTGTTTGTTTCTTCTAACATAGTTTTTTTTTTTGACATGTCAAAAATAAACCTGAATTTATCCCAAAAATGAATTCGTCATAGAAACTGTAATATGATTAAATATAAGATGATATGAAGTGAAGTTCTCCACATTTTCAATTGAAAGTGAAGTGAATTCAATTTGTTTATCATTGTTTAAACTCTGCATTTTTAATGCATACACGTCAATGAGGTTATAAGAATTTGTGCATAAAAGTTCTCCCAGAGGTAGGGCAACGATAGGTCAAAAAGGCTTCTCTGATAGATTTCCTTGCCTTTTGGATATGCTATAATATATTGCCTAGCATGATATGATATGATGTCAAAAGTTAGAACATAACTTAGGATCTTGAGAAAAATGAAAAACAAAAATTACATAAAAAAAGAAAAATTTTATCTAATTTGTTTTTTTGGACCAAATAAGTAATTTTATTGAATTTCAATACGACACATAGATTTTATTATTAGTAATAAATATAATGGTTTACTATTAACAAGGAACCTAAACTAATGAAAATTTGATTTCAAATATTGTATATGATTATCATAGATTACCAAAATATATTGCTATTTATGAGGATATAATATTGATTATTAGTAAATCGTATAAATTTAATAAATATACCATGAATATTGAATGAATTTCTTGATTCATAGGGGTAAAACGCGCTTTTATATGATTTAGACAGAGAATTTATGAGATGTAAATAACACAATAAAGGTTTATATTGAATATTTTCTAAAAATAAATCGAAATTATAAAAAACAATACATTTATTCATTGAAACTACTTGGACAAATATGAAACAAGCATTCAGGCAATACTTTTGAGACTTCAACGCATCTGATAATTTTTATATAACTTCACCTCTTATGCTTAGAGTGGAGGTATTGAGATCGTATAAGTATAGATGAGCTCACATTCAGATATGATGTGTGAACTTCTGTTTTCACTGCAATTTTGAATCAGAATAAACTCAAAACAAGAATAAAATGATATACTCACTCTCTAAATGTGTTCGAGATTTAAAGTTGTATGAATAAAACGATTCATCTTTCGAAGCCTCCCATTTAATGAGAGACTTCGAAAGATGAATGTATTCATGTAGATGAAATACTATATATGACCATGTGTGATACTAAAGATATCAAAATGTTCATTTTTAAGTGCAATAGAAGGGTTATCTCTCGTAAAATCTCAATTTAAGGAAGATTTAGAAAGAACTCCTTTCCTAAGTAGATAGTGTGTGGTTTCTGTCTTTTGGTTGATCAGGAACTATGAAATTAAGTCGGACAGAAAGAAGTTCTTTCCAAAACAGACTCCAAATGAGTTGTTCGAAAAGAACTTCCTTCTGTATATGGATAATTGTAGTTACCGCACTGAAGTATGTGATTGTGATGATGGAGTTCTCGATAAATCTAAAATCGGATTAAGATTAATTGAAAACTCAAGTAATTCTTTGAAATCTTGTGTTGTCTGGCACTATAATAACCAAAGAATGAGAATATTATGTTGAATGATGAGTACGTGTGCTCGGCATTCGCCGAGCGAATTGAGTTTAACGTACTATGAAAAGTGACAAATTTGGGCTTTTTTTCCTAGGGTTATGATCTCTTCCTTTCTGCTCAATACGACAGAAATGAAAGAATGAATTTGTACTCCCTAATTGATTACTACAATCTGTATCTATCTTTAACATAGAATTAGCTGCATTGTGATTTATACTCCAGAATTATTCAATTTAAGATCAACCTCGTAAATTTTAATCATATTGCACCAATACTCCTACGTTGAGATAAGAACATGATTATACATACCAAAGCCCCATATTAAAAATCAAAATTTAGCACCTCCATTATGCAACCACATTATTCGTCGCAAATAAGTATATTTACGCATATTATGATGCATATTCACACAACTCGTATACATGAAAAGTTATTAAAATCAGACAAAATTATTGCAATAAGGAAAAAAAAACAACTTTATTATATATGTTAGTAATGAATTACAAATATTTCTACAAAGAATGCTCAATACTTCATATAATCTTCGAATATTTCTTATTACAAGTTAATACATTTTGACTCGAACATGATAAACAAAAGCTGACACGCTGATTACTACATTTATGAAAATATAGTACGTTTCCATTCATCTGTTTACTTGTTTTTGTTGGAATAAAATCATTTTTTTTTCTTTCATGAAATAAGAATTTTGCTGCGAAAGCAATATCTCTAACAATAATTAATACATTACGTCAACTCTGGAATGAGTATTTATCAAATATGATATCAAAATCAAAAATTAGTTGTTTTTTATGAGTAAAAACGATGTAAATTGATTATTTGACTAATTATCAAATACTTTGATTTTCCAAATTTTTTTCGAAATTGATTTTTTCATGTGAAAATTCAAATTGTTTAATTTCATTTTTGAAATTTTGAATTTTTTTTGGAATTTTGAGTTGATCAATTCAGCAGAATTGATAATGCTATTGCTTTAGGGCATACCACAAGGTGATGAATAAAAGGTGAACATTAACAAATTATTTTAAATCACAAATATCATCCTCATCAACTTTAATTCTAAAAAGAACTGTACTGAATTATGAAAATGCATGATTTACATTATTAAAATCTTTGAATGAAAATAGTACAAGATAAGTTTTTATTCATTTTTAATTAGATTTAAACGAAAAACTACTCCATATTAAAATTTAAGTCGAGAAATCGTATTTTGTTCTTATTTGTTAGCATTTTGTAGACATTCTAATCTTGAATTAATTTGTTACATGATATTATTAACAAATTTAACTGAAAAAATATGTTAATATGGAATAAACCATGATTATATAAGCTATCAATGCTATATATACATATGTAAAAGATTCATATTAACTCAATTAACAAAAATGATAGATTTTCATAAAGGTTCAATCTAGGTTCGTCCGAAAATTTTGATTTTTATATAGAAGACATAGTTTCATATACATAATTAAATTTTCAAACAAATTTGATCATACCATTTATTAAGCAGGATAGTATATTAATTACTATCAGTATAAAAATATAAAAATGATTATATTTAATTATTGCATAATTTAGTCAAAGAGTTATAAGCCTCAAGTGATCGTTATCACCTTCAATGCACGTATACTTTATTGATTCATAGATATTTAATCTATGTTTGACATGTTGTTGTCGTCATTCGTTTTGTTCCCATTCTTCCTAAGTTAGAATTAGAGAATACACCATCCACATCATCTAATTTGGTCCTCAGCGATAGATTGGTTCATTTTGGAGGAGTCCCATCAGACAGTTTTCGAGCACCAAATATCAAATTTTAATGTATACAAATCTTTAGTGATTTATCTCTTTTATGATGAGTAAAAGGTTTCTGCTCATCAACATTTGATTTCCGACATATATGATTTCTAATTGCAATTATTTACTTTCTTTTTATAATCTAACTCTGTGACTCATACCATAAATTAATTATTGGAAAGTGTCAATATGTTTGGCACAACGCATGGCGGAAGATACCAAACCATGCAGGGAATATGATACGTTTAAGATCTCCGAACTTTTTTTCCAAAAATTTTCTATCGTTGCCCTACCTCTGTTCTCCCCCTAAATTTATATATTGAAAATTCAATTCTGCGGTTTCAAATTTTATCGTTTCTAAAACAGAATTCTTCTGAAAAGGAAAAAAAAATAAATTAAAATAAATGGGGCAAGATCAAAGTGTAATCTCTGGAAAGAACAGGCCCTCTGTCAATGACGTTTATCTACCTATTTCTTCCACCCGTTCCTATGAAGAAGTAGCCAGTCATGGCTTCTCTGATGTTAGTGATAATGATAATACTGCCGGAAAAACAATTAACCAGCCTTTTGTTGGTATATGGTCTGTGCATATGCCGGAAGGAACAACACCTCTCCCAAGAACCGGATTTTTCAGTGCCGAAGATAAAAATTCTCACAAATGCTACATTGGATGCGGTATTAACAAAGATAATATCTTCCTCAACGATGTTTGGATGCTTGACTGCACTACACATCTCTGGAAACTCCTTAGAACCTCCGGTTCTAAAATTTCTCCGAGAACTGGTTCCTGTGCAGTCGTATATCAAAACCATTTAATCATATACGGAGGATATAATAGTACAGACTATATCAACGACATGTACGCGATAGATCTTAACACACTCGTCATAAACAGATTAGATACTAAAGGAGACGTTCCGTGTGGTCGATCCAGTCCCATTTTCGATGTCATTGGTGACCAGTTGTTTTTATGGGGCGGATTTAACGGAGATTGGCCAAATCGATTATATATTCTTGACTTAAAAACCCTAAACTGGACAGCCTATGCGCAAAACATCACTGGAAGAGCTGCTGTACCTCATATCGTATATAATGATAACATTTATATCTTCGGAGGCTCAAAATCCAGTGGAATGATGATAATAAATACGAAAAAGAAACTATGCGAGGTCATTCAGACCGGCGGACCACAACCTACGAGTATTACTACATGCAGCGGAATGATTCTTGCTGGTCAATACGTTCTTTATATCGGAGGAAAATCAGAAAACAGTTACAACCTGATTTATTGCTTCGATTTGAACCGAAATATGTGGTTCGTCTTTTATATTATGCCAGATGAAGAAACAGTTACGAAATCTGACGGTCGAGTTACAGAGAACGGTCTTTTCATGATTCCTCGCATACATTCATTTGTTTCTTATTATGATGAAGAGAAAAAGATTGTTTATACTTTCCTTGGATTCCCTTCAACAGATCCATCCCCATTTTACATGTTGAAGATCGGAGATGCTTTAGGCGTTTTGAATCATCGTAGTGATATGCTCGATACTTTGTATCGGGCATCCTGTTAATTTTATTTTTTATGTTATTTGCTATTATTTAAATTGTCTACTGTTTTATCTTCATTTTTTCATATAACTGCATTTAATATCATCTGTATGTAAATAGATTAAAACGTTTTATTGAAGATTAAAGTAAAAAAACATAAAATCTTTATTTCAATTTTCATGAAATCAATATAAAAAGCAAAAATATATCTACAAAACTTCCACATTAAGTAAAATATAAATATTTTAATGCACAAATATGGATTAATCAGCTACAAATATGCTGATAATCAATTCAATTACAACAATCCTAATAGATATAAGTAATTGTAGTTCTTAAATCAGTAATTCTATGTGTGTGAAGGCTAAGTTTTGGAAAGATGTCCAGCTAACATGATGATTTCATCTAATAATAGTTAAAAAAGAAAATGATTTAAAAATGATTACGTTTTACTCAGAAAAATTGAAAGAGATTCTATAGTTTACAAGGAAACTTTTTAAAAAAACTTTTTTTATAAAAAAATTAAAATTATGAATAAAAACATATATATATATACTGTGAGACATAAAACACTGTCAATGAAAAAGGTTATCTAACACTTCATTTTCCCTTTTTCTCAGAAGAAGAAGATTTCTTTTTCAAATGCTTTTTACTTGGCTTCTTCTTTCTTCCATTTGGAAAACAGAAGTCAGGGATCTTCTTTCTGTTGATTACCTGTGGATTTTCTATCTTTGTTGACAGAGGTCTGTTTGTTAATTTGTAAATCTCTTCCAGATACTTTTTAATTGCAGCGCTTGGGTTGACCTTCTTTCCCTCATCATCTTTTGTCTTTTCTGTCTCCAAACCGATGAAAATTGAACCTTGGTATTTATTGTTATTTTCACGATCAAAAGAAGAAGGGAAGATAGGAGCGCACTTAACACGCTCTATAGCTTCAAGCGATGTAATTAGCCTCTTAACTTTTGAGATAACTGTGCCTTTCCACCAATTATAATCTGCCAAGCCTTCTGCGCGAATATCTATCTCAATGTAGTTCTTGTACGACTCGAAGAACTCATGGTCTTCGCAAACCGCTGACCATGGAAGGTCTCCTGTAATGATATTCGGCATTATTTGAAGAGCTTTCACCATCTCTTGGATAATTCTGTTTCGCGATGACGTTGTTGCGCTTCTTTGGCTGTTTGTTGATGGATACGCTGGTGTAATGATTGGCATTACGTCGTTATGGTCGGATTCCGTAGTTGGATCCCAAGAAAGTAACTCACCATAATTAGGACGGTTGATATATATTGGCGTTGGCCATGTCCACTGCGAAATTTCGGAGAAAAAGTAGAGGGCAAGCATAGCTGGAGAAGCTGTTGGATATCTTTGACAAACAAAAGCGGAAAGAATGGCAAGATTAACGCCACCAAAGTATCCGTAGACATTTCCGTATAATCCTCGCTTAAAAGCCCAATATCTAACAAACTTTAGTAAAGTTTTGAAATTATCTAGATTAGGAACTAGTTTAATCACCATATTATTAACACGAAGACTATTGAGGGCTCTCACAGATAATTTGCTCAGGTTTTCCAATACAGAATCTGGTGATAAATCTATATCATCTGTAATGTTGTTTAATCCTAAGGCAGCAAAAGATATATCAAACTCGATATCATCATAAGTGAGCTTTATAATTGGTACATAGGCTTCTTCAACCTTTATTAGTCCTTTTACTTTAGTATCAGCTGCCAATAATTCATAGAAAATCGAAAAGAATTCTTCTTTCTGGACAAATTGAGGTGCAAGAATTACGCAATCGATATCTGACTTAGGTGAACATACACCTAGTTTGTAGGATCCACTGTAAAATAATTTTCCTTTATATACTTCGCCCTCCGGTGGCTCCATTTTCTTGTTTACGCGGACTTTTTCTATAAACTGATCAACAATTTTGCTGACTGTCTCAAAAACAGCCTGGCGGTGCTTCATTGCTTCGGCATCTGCTATCGCACCTGCAGAATCTAGGAATTCGACAAGTTTGCGGGAAGCTTCGATATCTATAGGAGTAGGCTCGGCCTCTGAGACGGGTTTGTATAGAGGAATCCATGCTGGATCGACAGCTGGAGCTTCCTCTGTTCCACTCATCGAAATTAATTTTTTTTAGCCATCAAAATTAGAATCAATCAGTGTTCAAATATTTGAATGCAAAATTACTTGTCTTGTAATAAATATCAATGATGTCGCTTGGTTACGAAAATTTAGGACTGTGAGAAAAATTGTTCCCAAGAGATGTCCTTTCTGGGTAATGAATATGAGATTTCCATTAAGTGTAAATATCAGGCATGGTAAATGTTAAGTAATTTCTTATGTTCAAGCAATATTTTCTATCCTCAATTAGACTTTCAAGATCCATGATTTTAAAATCTATCAGCATTACAGCTAGGAATTATAAAAATTAAATAAAAATAAAGAGAATTGCAATAATTATTTTAAAATTATCAAAATTATTCATCAGCTTGCCAGCAAAAGCACAACTACCTAAAAATGCGAATAAGTCGCAATCCTTCATATGTTTTATGGTGGGAAGGTTTCTCGGAAATATCAAAATAATTACAACATTTTTTATATGATATATACATAAGTATTGCATGTTTGATGCTTCTCTATTCATTCATTAAGATATAAGGATCGAGCTTGATGATTTAGCATTTGATCGATAATGAATCCGCAATTCCGGAATATTTCTAAATAACTGAAATTGGCATAGGAAAAGAAATAGAAAACTTTAAAAAAGAAAGATTAATTTTCATAAAAATGAATGAAGTTGAATCACTGCTAAATTCTACTGATAGTACATTTTTAGCAGTGGCTCTTGGAACGTATAATGATCAAAAAGAGGTCACTGTATTGGAAAAATGGCTTTATTACCAGGATAAAAACGAAATGCCTTTTGAATATTTACTCAAACTAAATACATATATACCATCATCCGAAAAAGATATGAGATTGAAGAATATCCTATTTAGGCATGTAGATTCGCATCAACTCAATCTTGGATCTTTTGCTTCAATTTATCAAATTACAAATGATGATGTTAAGAGAAATTATTGTGTTGCGATAATCTACAACTTAAAGAAAATTGATATGTCATTCGAGCAGGAGCAGCAAATCAAATATTTTTTAAAACAAATCACTCATTCAACAAGATCCGCACTAAAATTCCAACAACCACTACAAATATCAACACCTCTTATTTCTCGTGCTCTCGAATATCTTAATCGCTTTACAAATGCTCATATATATAAAATGCCTGATTTTCCAAGTTTACCAGCTGATTTGATGTTCCACATGATAGCTCTTACATCTCATTTTGAGACACAGATGTCAACAATCATAGAATCAAATGATTATAATCAAGCAAAAGCCATGGCTCAGTTTCTTGCTAATTTCATGTTCCCTTATCAGCTTTATCATTCGTCATTTGAACATTTACGACGTCCAATATCAGGTCTTTACCTCCAAATCATTCAATGTCAAGCACAATCCCCAGAAGATATTTTATTAACATTTTCTTTTCCTTGCACTTGGATTCGGCTATCAGATAAGACAGTATGGCAAACTCCTACCATGGATGAGCAAATTTCTGTCTCAGGAGATTACAATTCTTTAGTAAATTTAAATACAGAAGATCCTGAAAGAGAAAGATTAATTCAAGTCATAAAGAAGAAGTACAAGCTTACACAGAAAACTTCTCCATGTCCTTGGGTTGTTTCTTCAGTTATTTTGGTTTCTCAAGCAGAAGAAAGAATCAGACAAAGAATGTGTGCTCTTAGACTTGAATCCTTAATGAACATTGCAAGGAGCGCAATAGATATTACAAATAACTGGATTGGAGAATCATCTTTTATTTTATTCGAAAAAGTAAGAGAGCTTTGGGAAATTTTGGGATTAACTGGTAAAGATGACATGTATATGATAGCAGCTGTTGGCCAAATACTTGATTCAACCATTCAAGGAAAATTATTCACAAATAGAAGAGTTGTTCTTATGCAAATATCATCTGTATAATATTTTATTCTTTTTTTGTATGTTCTTGTTTATTAAAACTATACTATTCTATTCATTATAAATTAAAATAAATATTTAAATGCATTTCCGTGTAAAGCACACAATTATATCAAATTTTCAAAGCAAGACGGAAATATATTTAAACAACAATATTTTCGTTTGTTTTCAGCTCTCTCATGAGATAACAAAGAATCCTTTCCACATATATTTGATATTTATAGTTTATTGATGCAGAAATCAAAATAACAGATATAATTTTAGAAAATTTATCTTTAAAAACGTAAAAAAAAGTTCTAAATTATTATATTACAGATCTAATAGTTTAGTATTTTTCGAAAGATTGAAGTTCCTTCTCTGTGTTTCCTGGTTTGCACCAAATCTTAGCCTTGTAATCACCATCGTTTGTCTTGACGACACCCTCGAAGATGAATCCAGAAACAACCTGCTGTGTAGCTGTGATAAGCTCAACAAATTCGAGATTTGTTCCGTTCTTCTGGTTAGCAAGAGCAACAGCATCCTTGAAAGCCTGGATAACATGTTCGTCATCAACATTAGCTGGCTTAACACCACCACATCCGCATCTTCCTCCGCAGCAAGACATCTTTGTTATGTGAAGTGAAGAATCAGTCACTTTTATACCTGGTCAATCAACAAAAATTTTGCAAGATAAGTTCTTTAAAATATGTTCTACGAGACAAACATAAAAATCTACTTTTGGAAAGATTTTAACCTTTTGTCTTCCGGAATGGGAAACAAATTTGATCAAATTATCAAAATATTGATAGTTTGAAATGGACAAAAGTTTTTCTATTCAAATATCATCCAGTCTATGTGATACAGCGTGAAATACAAATGATAAAGACATTGATTGCCTTTTAGAAGTCTAATATAAAAGATATACATACCAGTCGATTTTACAAATAATTGCAAGTAGGACAGAAGCTTAATTCCAATAAATGATTTGTTTGTAAATATTTTTATTTGTTTAGGATTGCAAAGCTATGGTATTTGGATAAAAAGTGTAAACGATTTCATGATGCAACTTATGGCAACTATAATCTAAATAATATATTTAACATTTAAATATTAATCTAAACAAAGCATCTCATGTGATCCATCATAATATAAGTGAGAAAATTAAGAGATTGGAAGCAATATCATATTCCAAACTTCAAAAATTTTTTAAAACCCAAAATTATTCATCATTTCGAACAATAACTTATTGTGAAAAATGATTTACTCTGTAGGTTGATTTTAAAATTGCTTTTAGATCTAATTGTGTACATAATAAAATCTAGGAGTCACTTTTATTGATTTTGGTCATTTATTTATAGAGATGGAATTAGCCCAACTCAACGCATCTGCCAAGAACAAAATGATATCTGGAAAGTACCCAGCTGCTATTGCCGATTTTACAAAAGTTATCGAAGCTACAAAGGCCACAACTGATGATAAAACAGCTCTTAAGATTTCTGCTTACAACAATCGCTCATACTGCAACATTCTCATCAAGAAATACGATGAGGCTCTTGATGATATCAATAATGCCATTGAAATCGCAAATTCTGCAAGAAAGCCAGAAGCCATCAAAGCTTTAGATGTTGAACAAAGAAAGAATGATGAAATCGTCCCTCTTCTCGTCGAAGCACTCGCTCGCCGTGCAAACATTTACGATATGAAGGATAAATGTCTTGAATCACTCCAGGAGTACCAAAACGCCATGAACATCATCCCAGACGGTGATGCAAAGGTTGCCTACAACAGATTGCTCAGGACATGCGGAATTCATCCACTTCCTGAAGATCAGAGACTTGGAATCTTTTCTGACGTTGTTTCTCACATTCTCGACAGACCATCCCTCGTAGAATCCATGAAGAAGCTCTGCGACTACTTTACAAACCCTCAAGAAATATCCAAGCCAGATCTCGAGTTCTTTGCCTCATCAAAGGCCATCAATGTCCCAGATGGTGTCATTACATTCTACGTTCGCGATCCAGAGGTCGTTCTTCTCAGTATCAAGACATTATCCGCTATAGGCAAGAAAGGATGCCTTCCTGTCTACTCCTTCTTCAACGATGTCAAGGACTGCATCAATAACTATCCAAAGAACATCGAAATCGTTACAGAAGCCGTTCAATATCTTTTTGATACACCAGAACAAGCTTTTATCAAGTTTGCTGATGAAGAATCAATCGAACCAATCTGTGATTGCTTCTCTCTTGGTCTTCCGGAGCCAGTAAAAGAGCAGTTATTCTTCATTTTGTTCAATATTGCCAATAATGAAGAGCTTTGCCTCAAAGTTCTCAACCATCCACCAGTTCTCGACAACATTATCAACGAAAAGTCAGTTGGTGCTGGTATGTTAATGTCTCGTCTTACACAATCTACACCATTTGCTAAATTCGCCATCGGAAAGTGCGGATTTTCATGGATTGCCAAGCTTCTTAATCCAGAACTCGGTGTCGAGAAGGTCACCGGCCTTATCATTGCTCTTTCCAGATGCGTCATGATCTGTAAAGAAGTCGAAAACTTCGATTACAAGTCCGAAGTTTTTGTTGTTGTCGAAAATGTTGTTCCAACACTCCAGAAGATGATGAAGTCTCTCGACATCTGTTCGAACGGATTCGCATGTCTTGCTTTATCTGTAGACATTGTTCCAGAGAAGATCCAACAGTTGCGAGCTGTCAGATTGGCTTCTCTTGGTCTTGCACTTCACAAACAGCATCCAAAGGTTGTACAGAACGTTATGGCTTTCATTTACTACGCAGCGAAGAGCGGATTGTTGCAGGACGTCAAAGAGATCGAGAACGAAATTGTTCCAGTTATTTTCGACGCAATAAGAGAGTCATCATCATACCAGACAATTTGCGAACACTCAATCGCAATCCTTGTTATGTTGGACCATCCTTCAAAGCAGAAAATGCTTTTGGCTGGAATACAGCAATACCCGAACTCTCAGATATTCAAGGAACTCATACCTGGAAACATTGACCTCAAACAAATCCCTCATTAAGTCTTTTTCTTTCTGTCTTTTTCTTTATTTTATGTATAAAAAGAATTCTTAGAGTTTTCTCAAAATTATTTTCCATTAATTCTTACTTTTTCAAAAATCAAGGGAAAAAGTCACACGAAAATTTGTAATTTTCTCTGACAACTTCTACGAATGGGAGAGAATATGCACGTTTAAGGAAAGTCTCATATTACAGAAGTGATTCCAATCTCATTATGATTTTTAGAAATGAGAGTGAAAACACTGCTTTTATTACTTATTATGATGGTTTGATTAAAAATAATATATTATGAAGAGTTAAATATGTTTACTAAAGTTTGTAAAAAAAGAGAAAGTTTATTAACTTCAGAAATACTTTTATTGATAATTGCAAATTCTGCTTGGCAATTACCAGTTGAAAAATGAATCAATTTGTTAGTAAATAGTTCTCTTGGATGATTAAGTTCTACATTTCTATAAAATGTTGATGAAATCGAATTGTCAATGTAACAACTATCAACTGTTAATTGATCATCATAGTTATATATCAAAGATGAACCTTCAGGAGTAGTGTTGTTAATAAAAGAACAACTTTTTACAGTAAGAGAATTTTGATAATGGTAAATAATTCCATATTTTGATTTTGTTATGGTATTATTTATAATATTACATGAATCAATCAAAGAATTATACCAAATATTTATCATATTTTCATCAATATCTGTTGCTAAATTATTAACAACAGTTGAATAGTTAAATTTTGTTGTGTATTTATCTGGTTTAGCTTCATAATGTCCAGCAGGTTGCCATTTAGCTTTATTTGATGAGAAATTTGTTGATGAAACTACGATATTATCATACAATGTTTGAAAAACAGATCCTCCATTTTCATTTCCTGCATCAAAAATGGAACTTTCAATAATAAAGTTTAAGTTATCTGTGTCAACTTCTGTATATGAAAATTGGCCATTTTGAGAGCTTTGGCATTTTGTACAACAGAACTTTCGTTGAACAATTGAACTATTACTGCCAATTTTGTAACAAATGCAGCTGCCTTCCTCTGTTGAAGTGCAATTACTAAAATAACACCGATTATGTAGGAACAATGAGTTAGTAATAGGGTTAAAATTGATAACTCGATCATGATCATCAAAAAAATTGCACTCATCTAAGTAGTATTGGCCTTTTCCTGTTGTTAGATCACAGTTTAGACAGTTTTTAGCTTCTTCTCCTGTAAATCGAGTATTGAAGTAGGTGTTCCAAACATTGTCATCCTCAGCGGATGACTTTTTTTGGAATCCATTCACACTGTCAAAAAAAACCGTAAATTCTTCAATTCAAATTTTTGACTTTTTTTAAATGTAGTTATGATACCCAAAATAATTTAAAAATTTCGAAAATTGTAGGGTTGTTAGATTCCCGACGATAGGTGTCTTGGAAGATTTGCCTGGTGTCATCATAGTGTCTTTAAATCAAAAATTTTATTTTGGAGTTAGTTTTATTGATTTTTCAATAAAAAACATTTCGAAAACAAGAAAATAAAACGATAAAATATTTATATTTTATATAAGGATCTTATATATTTAAAATAAATATCATTTTATTTTTTTCATTGGTGTCTGTCAAACCATAATACACTATTCAAAAATTCAATGTGTCTTGCGGTTTCAAAAGACACCTTCAAATTGAACGATAGCACAGACACTATTGAATTTTACCCATTTTATTTAGTTTTTACCCTTTTTATTTTTAAGAATTAATGACTGAAACAGCCGTTTTGCTATGACCTCAATCACTTTTATTTATTATTTTAAATATTATTTAATTTTATTATTTGAATAGGCCAACTTATATTTGAGAAGCTCAATTTGAGACCACTTAATACATTGAAATATCATAAATATTGAAATATTAAAAAGTGTATTTCAAAATATTGAAATTATAAAAATTTATAATACTGAAATTGAGACAAATTAATAAATTCAATGCGTTTTTTTTGAAATAACTCTCAAATATTATTTTTTTGTTTATTTAATGATGAATAAATATGATTGCTTTAGTCAATCATAAAAACTCATTTAAGTTTAAAATAATGAAAGGATAATTTGATCGTTTTTTAAAATACAATTATTTTTGATGATTTGCAAGAATCTTTGAAAAGAATATAATATAGGTTCTATTTTTGTAAAATTTATCCAAATCATTTATTACATAAATTACGATTAAAACGATGAAAGAACCAAAAAGTGTGTTTTGTGTTTTGTTGTTGCGTGTTGGATGCGGGATCCAGTTATTTCCGAAATCGACAAAAAATTTGGAAATTTAATTTCCGAAATCGAAATTATATTAATGTTTTTAATATTCTTATATCAAAAGGATTAAAGTTCATTAAGAGAAAAACAATTCTTCTTCTTCAATCTATTGGCGCATTTATTTCTACACGCCAATAAGGAAGGGAAAATTATAAGACACCATGGTGTCTTCAAAACGCTAATTTTTGATATTTTTAACAACCCTAGAAAATTGGAACACAATTTTTTTTTAATTTTAATTTTCCCTCCAATCTGTTCCCAACGCATTTACCAATATTATCTTTTTAACATATCGTTCATCATCATATTTCGGTTGTATTTTCTGATTGTACGCATGTAAAATAATAGGAATCAAGCAATTTTATGATAGAATTTAAGTTCTTTCAAAATTCTATCCATTATTGATATCTCATGTTAACAATTAAAGAAGCACAAATGTGATGTTAAGGTCTTTCCTTATAGATTCTAGAATGTCCATTGGATCAAAGCGTTTTACTTGCCTTGTAAATTGAGCAACTGCATCAGAAAAAGATAGAAGATGGAAACATGTAAAAAAGATAAAAAAATTAAGTACATCATCTTTTAATTACATTAAAATGCTTCAAAATTGAAGAGATAACTCTAGCCAAATTCTTACGAAATAAAAAGAATATTATTACGTAAAATATAAAGTTTAACAATTCAATTAGACAGTAGTCTAGAAGCTATTCTCGAATCAAATTTTGCGAAATGAACTGCAAGCAACTTGATGATAAAATAGATCCCTAATGTATGTGTTATAATAGTTTTAAAAAAAAAAAAAAAAAAGGTAGTGGGGCTTCCAGGCACTTCGTGCCCTCTAGCCCTGAAGATGTTTAGTATAAAATGAGGTTTTTTGGGTATAGGGGGCTTCCCAGGGGCTGCGCCCCTTCTAGCCCATAAAAATTTTTGAGAGTCGTCGCTGTTGACTTTTTTTGTAGAGCGCTCAAAATAGTATAACTATGTCCGGACAAGTAAGGGTCTATCGTCGCTACAGGAAAAGTTACGGGCGTTCCAAGGAAGTATACTTTGAGAAGCCTTTTCTCCATTTTAAAACAAGATAGGACGGTTATTTTACAAAACTGACAAGACTTTGACCGAGTAGTTTTCATGTTTTGTCACTTTTCTGTCACTTTTCAGGAAAAAACATTTTTATTATTATATATAAATGAATTTTACAAAACCACCGTTACCCTTCTTTGGAAATAAGAGTAGATGTAAAGATATTCTATTGAGAGAACTTAAGAAACTACCGAATGGTCTAACATTTGTAGATTTGTTCGGTGGAAGTTTCTATATATCCCATTTGTGCCATACCGTATTCCCAGACTCAAAGATTATATGCAATGACTTCGACAACTATATGAACCGTCTCAAACATATACCAGACACAAACAATATATTGAAAGAGTTAAAAGAAAAGATACCTATAGGTAAGATGGAAAGTATACCATTAGATAAGAAAAATATTGTGAGAGAGGTTTTGAAAAAAGCAGAATATATTGACTGGGATAGTATATCTGCTAGACTATTATATAGTGGTTCTATAAGAGTTCATGACATTGAAACACTTATGTCAAAAGTTTTATATCTTAACTATACAAATGTTTTCAAAAAGAACATAGAAAAATATATTGAGGGTATAGAGTTTGTGAGATGTCGTTGGACAGAGTTGTATGAAAAATATAAAGACAAGGAAAATGTTTTCTTTATAGTGGACCCGCCGTTCTATAACACATGGGATTTTCAATACCAAGTAGACTGGACTTTGAGAGACTCTTTAGAAACTTTAGACGTTTTACATAACCATCCATGCTTTTACTTTACATCCGATAAAGTGGTTTGGAAACCGTTATGAGATGGTTAGAGGACATACATGACTATGAGTTTAGATATGACAAGATAGAATATGAGAGAGGTCCTATAAACCGGAGAAAGTGTCACAACAAAGAAATTTTATTGGTAAGTAAATGTGGTTTGAAATAGGACTACTTGTTTTAGGTTTTTTCCATTGTGTCATTTACTTATTTGACGTGGCAGAAAGATATAGAGAATATGAAGATGAACCAATGCCTGCAAATGTTCAGCATATGTACTCGTAAGAGATATTTTTATCTAATATTAAATGGACGCACAGAACTTAGCGAATGCACAGCAACCTGGACAACCAAACCCAGAGAATATTCCAAATGAAGTTAGAATACAAACTGCAATGGCAAACTATGGTCAAGTGCCAACAGATGTACAAATGCAAACTGCCATGTCAAATGACGCTGCGTTAGGTTTGCCACCATGGTATGCAAATATGAGATGGAAAGAGTTTTATACAAACCCTGAAGTGGGATATAAACAACTCTATGCAGATGACGCGAACACAGGAGTTGACCCAGAATATGTTTTCTACCAGAGGAGAAATAGAATGTATGAGCTCCAGTTAAAGAATGCAATGGAACTCAGAAGGAAACGTAAAAGACTAGGCGGACATTAGATTTTTACATATAGTAAAATGGGTTTCTTTGGAAGAATAGGAAATTCTTTCGAAATGTTGGAAGAGGTATATGGAATGGAATAAAATCTGTCGGAAGAGGAATTTGGAACGGTGTCAAAAAATTGGTAAAAGAGTAGGTCAGTTCGTTGGTATTATACCTAAAGACCCTGAACCAGAAGAACAAGCTCCTGTTATACAACAGCCTG